GCCTCTACCTGCCAGGGGTCCCACTGAGGAAGATCTGAGACAGCAGATGTAACACCTGGCACACGGCCTAGCATAGAGCAAGCACTCATTAAAGGCTGGATTTTAAAACAGGTCTTTATCCCTTACAGAAGCTTCTACAAGATCATCTCATCCCCCACCCACACAAACATGAACTATGGTTCAGTGGACTGAAATTTCTAAAGTGGAGTCCTGTCCCTTACACTAACTAGTCGTGTGAGGGTTGACAAGTTACTTAACCCCCCAGGGCTCTACTGAGATGGTGGGGCTCCACGACCCTGCAGCCCCAATCAGCTCTGATACTAAGCCTTAAGCACAAAATCGGCACATCAGCCACAGGACCAGCTGTCCCAGATCGAACCCAGCGGAAAATGCACAGGTGTAGCCAGTGCCGTGCCCGGGAGCCGCTGCCAGCTCTTCCTCACCCACCCCGGGGAGGGCTCGGACTGCAGACCACGAGTCTGCGCGAGCAGGGAGCGGCTATTTTTAAGTGACATGTTTTGGCTATTCCACGGTTTGGATTTTTATTTTTATTTATTTATTTAACTCAAGAGGAAGTTGCACTTTCTCATGACTCATTTCTTTCAAAATGGTGTCTCAGGCATTTTTAGTATTGAAACCATCCTGAGTTTGCAGCTAGCCAAAAATACGTCTAAAATCAAATCAGCCTCATTTATGTTGTCAAGTCATTCAAAATTTTAAGAAGCTAACATATTAGAATCATGTCTGGATTCTACAGCTGGAAAGAACCCTGAATGTTAGTATTTTTCCACAAAAAATTTAACAGCAGTATTCTCTGCTGAAAAATACGTGTATATTTCCCAAAACATGTATCTGAAAGATGTTAAATTATTATCACTCAGAACGCCCTCAAACTCGCCCACAGGCTCATTACAAAACAGGAAGCTCGCAGGAAACTGCACCGGTTGCCTGGAGCAAAGGTAACCCGAGGTGCACCCGGTGCCGGACACGCCCTCGTCCCACCAGACGCCCCGTTTCAAGCCTGGAACGAGCCTTTCTCCTCTGGGAAGAGCTCATGCCAGCCTCTGGTGTCAACGTGGCAGCAATCCGCTTTATTCATATTTGGCAGTACAAAAGATCACTCAGAGTTCAACCTCACAGCTTCAGAAAATTAAGAGGAAAAAAGACACCAAGAGAAAAATATGTGATCCATTAAACTGTGATGTTTATAAAAACCCCACAACTTGGTGTGAGCAGCCCAGGCACTGCGGCCCTGCAGACCTCACACACCCGAACTGCAGTCTGGGGATGTCTTAGGCCCTCACCAGGTGGCTCTACCAAGCCTCTGTCCAAGCTGATGGTGAAACTACAGCCACCAGCAGGTGGGGCGCTTGGGCGGCCGGCACTGGGCACTGGGGAGTAAGTTCATCCCAATTGCACAAGGGCAGGGCAGGGCAGGAGGCCAGGCACAGGAGAGTGCGGTGGCCATGGCGAGAAGGAGGGCCTCTGGTCAGTCACCAACACCTGCAAGACAGGTGCTCTGGTGGGTTCAGGAGCCAGGAGAGGGCAGAGCTGAGACGTGCTACCACTGAGAGCAGAAAAACGACTCCAATTCCCAATCTACTTGCCAAAGATACCTGCTATTTCTTGGGGTTACATTTCTTTCTACAAATGTCTTTGTGAAATTCCTCAGTTGAATTCTCTCTGTATAATTCACATGCTACTCTCTAAATTTAGGAAATTTAGTGTTTAGTTTTAAAGCCAGTCAGATGCTAAAACAAGCCAGAATATTTAAGTTTCAACACATGATAGGTTATTATCTAAAAGATAAACAAGACCTATTTACAATTCCTTCAAACTTAAAAACAAATTCTATCAGTGGGTGAAGAAGAGCAGTTAAATTGGAAGCTTGGATAAAAGGGTTTGGTGGGACCAAGCTCACTGCCATAGTGTGGGAGAAAAAAGGCCAGCAAAAAAAGGGTTAACACTGGCCTTCTAAGGAGGCCACCCAGCGCAGTCCAGAGCGAATGAGCGGCCCTGGAAGCCTATAAAGCCTGCTGGCTGCTGGGCAACTTGCCCTTGGCTGTCTGTCAGCCACAATGACAGGCACTCTGGCAGGGCAGCCTTGCCTGCCAGGTCTCTGCTTCCACCACTGCTCCGGCACCCTTCCACGGGTTGAGGCCCAGAATCACTACCACCCACGGGAAGGTTTCAGCCGCACCTCCAGCCAGCCATGAGCACACTCCTGAGGCTGGCTGAGGAGCCCTCCGAGGGACAGGAGAAGGGTCTGCTCAGAAGCAAGACCAAGTCGGGGTGGCCAGCTGTGGCACAGGTAAGTCTGTCCTGGGTTCCTGATTCTGCGTTTGGGTCAGTGGCACAACGGAACCTAGACCTGGCAGACCAGGCTTGGTGGTCTAGCCTAAGGTGCAGCATGTTATGCTGAACAGCTAGATGCAGATGTGGGTAAACAAGGGCCCCCTCTGGGGAGAGGGGCACTGTGGCTCTGAAATTCGAGGCAGGAACCACTTTCCACGTGAGACACCCAAACGTTACGCTGACAATCTCAATGAGACTACAGTAAGGAAGGCTTCACACAAAGGTTCTTTTTATAACACATGCCGAAAATAATATTATCCGGTATTCTGTCATATTGTGTTCAAGCAAGGATCTGTCTCACTTCAAGAAAATAAGATTACCCCAGCTCTGTCTTCCCGTACGGCACTGCCGTTGCTCTTTCAATGAAAACACTTGCCCAATCCCAAAAGTAATTGGTGGATTAATATTCCTTTACAAAGATACATGTCTGATAGATGTGACAAAAACATGGTCTTATTTTTCTAGATCTGGACAAGCAGTGGAAATTTGAAACAAAACGATATCAAACTGTTCAATGCTCATCTTTATATTTATATGGCCAACTTTTATGAGGATACTGTTCAGTAGTAAATTTCATACTAAGTTCCTGTATCTTTTCATTAGACCATTATGAAAATAACAGTGTTTGTCAAGGATCAAAGACTCCATTTACACGGGAACAAGTGAAGGACTCATTCTGAAACGCTCCCACACAGTCTGTCTTAGCAGACGCAGGGAAGAGAGCAAGGGTATGTTTCAGGTTCCACTCGTCTTTAAGCTTTCCTCTAAAAAGGCAGTCTAAAACTTTCCAAAATTTCCACAAAGAGCAAACCAAATAGTCTGAGCCATCTTTACAAATAAATTAAATACAGAGGCTTGAAACATTATAGATAGAATCTGAAAACAATGACATTTATGTGGTCCAATTGGTATTATCTACTAAAGATGAATAAAGAATGCAAAATAACTAATAAGATCTAATTTATCAACCCCAGCTAAGCAAAGGGTACTGAATACTTTTAAAATAATAACTGACACCAAGGCTATGATTCACTTTTTCTTTTTCTTTTTTTTTAAAGCAGTATTTTCAAGCAATAAGTCAATAAATGTCTGGTCTGGTTTGGCAACACTTCAAAAATGATTCCTAATGATCTCATAAAGTAAAATGACAACTCTTAAAAGAAAAACAATTCAAATCCATTTTAATGTGACAAGCCGGTTTACTCCGGGTTTCTCAACCCCCAGCACCACTGACATTGGGGCTGGATCTTTCTCTGGGGTGGGGCCATCTTGTGCACTGTACGAATGTCGAGCAGCACCCCGGGGCTCCATCCACTCGATGCCAGAAGCACCCCTCCCCAGCTGTGACAACCCAAATGTCGCAGACACTGCCCAAAGTCCCCTGGTTGAGTCCACAGAGAACTTCTAGGGACCACAGTGAAATGAAGCAAATAACTAGAAGCCCTACTTTAAGTCAAGTTGACGAGCCACGTTGTAGGTGAACGGCCATGTATGCCAGCCCTGTCAGAAGCAAAAGTCTCCAAGAGATTTTCTTCACCCAGTTTCTAGGTTACCAAGTTTCTAGATTACAAACAGCATTACAAAAATATATTAGGTTTTACAGTAATATATCAGAACACTGAATAAAATTTAAATATTTCCTAAATCAATGACCATTTTTATTCCTTACTTTCTCTCTCTCTCTCATTCCATACTACCAAAAAAAGTTTTATTTTCGGCACCCAAACTTATGATTAGCAAGAAAGCTCGATTTCTTTTACCTATTTTATTATGAGAAAAGATTCTGCTCCAATTTCCACAAAGTGTTCTGGATTCACTATCTTTCTTTCTTTCTTCTTTTTTTTTTGTGAGGAAGATCAGCCCTGAGCTAACATCCATGCTAATCCTCCTCTTTTTGCTGAGGAAGACCGGCTCTGAGCTAACATCTATTGCCAGTCCTCCTCCTTTTTTTTTTTCCCCCTAAAGCCCCAGTAGATAGTTGTATGTCATAGTTGCACATCCTTCTAGTTGCTGTATGTGGGACGCGGCCTCAGCATGGCTGGAGAAGTGGTGTGTCGGTGCGCGCCCAGGATCCGAACTCGGGCTGCCAGTAGTGGAGCGCGCGCACTTAACTGCTAAGCCACGGGGCCGGCCCTGGATTCACTATCTTTCCAAAAAGCTGGTTTTTTCCCTTCCCATCTTATTTCTCTTTCCAACAGCTGCTGAAATAAATTTTATTTCCTCTGCTGACAAACAGTAGTTTCCTAAGATTTCCATCCCAATATCCATGTAACTTTATAAGTCTGCTATTTGACTGTTAAAAAAAAAAAGGCATCCACTGCCTATGAGGATGACTCACTGTCCAGGCCCCAACCCTAGGAGAGCCTGTGGGAAAGGAAACAGGCACTGTGTGCATTTAATTCTTCCCCTTCAGCCTGGTGACAACCATCTCTCCAAGATGATCAGACCTCAAGTCCTGGCCTTCCCTTCACCCTCTGCTACACCCGTAAGTACAGCCATAGGCCAAGGCTTCCAGCCTCATCGGAAAGCCTTAAAGCCTTAACCCTCTTCTCTCTGCTCCTCCCAGGTGCCCACGTAGGGGAAGCATCAGGCACAGTGGTGAACACAGTGGCTGGTGCCCACAAGAGAGGGCCGGCAGAAGCGCGCACAAGGTGCTGCTCTGGATGCAGACATCGATGACTTCATCTGTTTGCTCAACTTTCTGCAAAACAAACCCAAATTGCCACAAGTGCTACTTGTGACGAGTCCTGATTTTACAAATGTCTAGCTCACCCCAAGGAGCAGCACCTCTCTTTCTAAAGATGGATTTATTGTTTCAAACAGACTTCTGTGAGCCTTGCGGCAAATCTTGAAAGTGGCACATTGTGGAGACATGGGTGTGACTTCTCAGGCGCCTGTCTTTGGCATGGAGACATACCCAGGCACCTACAACAGCACTTCCCTAGAGCTCAACCTGTCCCACGCGCTTGCTGGCGCTGTCCCAGCGAACCAGACGGGCGAGCTCTCCGAGCACCAGCAGTACGTGATCGGGCTTTTTCTCTCCTGCCTCTACACCATCTTCCTCTTCCCCATTGGCTTCGTGGGGAACATCCTGATATTGGTGGTGAACATCAGCTTTCGAGAAAAAATGACAATCCCCGACTTGTACTTCATCAACCTGGCAGCGGCAGACCTCATCCTGGTGGCCGACTCCCTGATCGAGGTGTTCAACCTGGACGAGCAGTACTATGACATCACCGTGCTGTGCACCTTCATGTCCCTCTTCCTGCAAATCAACATGTACAGCAGCATCTTCTTCCTCACATGGATGAGCTTTGACCGGTACATCGCCCTGGCCAAGGCCATGCGCTGCAGCCTCTTCCGCACAAAGCAGCACGCCAGGCTGAGCTGCGGCCTCATCTGGATGGCCTCTGTCTCTGCCACCCTTGTGCCCTTCACCGCTGTCCACCTACAGCACACCGAGGAGGTCTGCTTCTGCTTTGCAGATGTCAAGGAGATCCAGTGGCTTGAGGTCACCCTGGGGTTCATCATCCCCTTCGCCATCATCGGTCTCTGCTATTCGCTCATCGTCCGGGTTCTCGTCAAGGCTCACAGGCACCGAGGCTTGCGTCCCCGCAGGCAGAAAGCCCTCCGGATGATCTTCGCAGTGGTCCTCGTCTTCTTCATCTGCTGGCTGCCGGAGAACGTCTTCATCAGTGTCCACCTCCTGCAGCGGACGCAGCCGGGGGCCGCACCCTGCACACAGTCCTTCCGCCACGCCTACCCCTTAACTGGCCACATCGTCAACCTCGCGGCTTTCTCCAACAGCTGCCTGAACCCCCTCATCTACAGCTTTCTCGGGGAGACCTTTAGGGACAAACTGAGGCTGTACATTGAGCAGAAAACCAACATGTCGGCTCTGAATCGCTTCTGTCATGCTGCCCTAAAAGCAGTCATTCCAGACAGCACTGAACAGTCGGAGGTGAAGTTCAGCAGTGCGGTCTAGAGATAACTGAGCTGCACTGGCAGAGACCGAACCTTGTGTCACTCACAGGACGGCCCTGGTGTGAGGTGGGAGACAGGGCCCGGAGCCGTGGTCAGAACAGGCCATGAACTCACCAGGCCTCAGCTGTGGTCACACGTGGGGCTCTGAGGTGCCCTCACTACAAACCACCTTGATTTTGCATGGCTCACACATCCATCCGTGTCACGACGCAGGTCATGGACTGACGGGATGGGGCACAGGACCAGCGTGGCGCTCTTCCCCCTCTCTGCACACACTGTACCCCGCAGCAGCAGACGGTTCTGACGTTGGCCAATGGAAGCAAAGAGGAGGGGAATGAAGTATCTTAGTTTCAAGGTAGATCTGCCATCTCGGGGAAAAATGAAGTCTGGAGTCAGAATATGCTCAACTGACCTGAACTGGATGTTGTGGTACGTGCTCCACATCTGTGGTTGATACTTTCCTTGTGCAAGCCAACAAATGCACCATGAGGTAAAGAGGAGAAGCTTCTCCTGTGCATCTGCGCATTCGTCACCTCTCAGAATGGCCACCTGGCCGACACCTGGTGAGTGACACCTGCGCACTCAGGCTGCCTTAGTCACAAGGGCTCTTCTCCAATGAAAGACCCACCTGCCGCTCAGACACTGATCTCTTGCGTTTACAATTATCTCCGCGCCTACGTTAACATGGAATGAGCCTGTGGGAGGGCAGCTCAGCAGGATGCCACAATGAAACACTCCACGTGCGGTAAAGAGTTTGCCTCTACAAAATGATAGTGGGAACAATGATGATGACAGTGTAAACAATTCTCAGTACAATGTAAGAAAAGAAAAACTAATGACTGCTGAGAGTGTTCAGTTTTGTCAATAAAATATAGTCATGTGCTGATTCTTCTAAATTCTCTAAGTAGTTCCTTAAGGGCGGGGGGTTGGGTAGCGGGGCTCTCAGAGCCTCAGCAGCAGAATCGCTCCATCCTCACAAAGAAAAAATATACCCCCAGTGTCACAAGGCTCACTCACCCTGCAGAGAACTCTACGATGAGGCCAGCATCTAAGTCCAGCCACCTGGACATAACCTGGCATCTCTAGGAGGTCTGCCACTTCTGCTGCATAATCTCTGGGTTCCAAGATAAGTTTTATTGCAAATGCACCATATACCCTCGCTTTTCTAGAAGGTTCTACGTTGTCAGGATAAGCCATGGTGTCTGCAGTAGCTCAAAGCACTCACGAGGCAGCTGGCTGGGGGGCTCCCTGTGCAACTCTGAAGCAGGCAGAAGCCCCATCTAAGTCGGCTCCCACTCCTCCTGCCCCACCCACTCTGCTCAGTGGGCCACCCTCCCAGAAGTGCAACCAGAATAGGACCCGGCTGCCCTGGGCGAGGCCCTCGAGGGTCTTCACACGAGCAGGGATTCCTGAAGGAGAAGACGAGATAATGTTTAGGTCACAGAGAAACGAATCATTTTTAGTTTTAATAGTTTTTTATGGCTGCAAATCTCCAAGAAAGGGAGTACATGTCCCAAGTAAATATGTGCATTTACCAAACCGTGAACTTGCAGAAGTGCCATCGCCAGCGGTTCAAGTCTTAAGACTCACTTTCTACATAAACGTCCCAATTCTAAGAATAACACAACTAACAGATGTCCCCCTACACCCCACTACTAGGCTAGTTCCTTGTTGGAGGAAAATCACACGGGTGGCTGGACAGGGCTCGCTTGTGGCACTGTCCCACAGAGCACCTACCCTCCAGCTGAAGTGAGGGCGAGTGCGTGATTTAGATGCCAGAGCACCTTCCTGGGAAGAGAGTCCTTCCCTCTGCCTCTCCAGAACCTCCCGTAAGTCAGCAGGTCTACAAAGGTAGAGCCGCCATCTTGTAAAAGATGCTTTTCCCTTCCACATCCTCTGAGTCCCCCATTGAAATGGCTCTCCCCTTCTCCCGAGTGCTGCTCCTCGGGATGGCCTCAGCACTGCAGCCTGCATAACCCGACAGGGGATATTTTGCAAGATGAATGCTTGTTACTAAGTTCTCCTTTTGACCTCAGTGTTGGCAACTCCAAATTGCAGAACGCAGGCCTAGACTGGAGCTCCAGCATTGAGATCTAACTATGTGCAAGGGATTCATCTAATGCATTCATCATTCTTGTCCTAGCTTGAAAAGTGGTGATGGAGAGATGCTTTAAAAATATGCAGAGATTAGAGGGCCGTCCCCGTGGCTTAGTGGTTAAGTGCGCGCGCTCCACTGCTGGAGGCCCGGGTTCGGATCCTGGGTGTGCACCGACGCACCGCTTCTCCGGCCATGCTGAGGCTGCGTCCCACATACAGCAACTAGAAAGATGTGCAGCTATGACATACAACTATCTACTGGGGCTTTGCGGGGGAAAAATAATATGCAGAGATTAGAGACCCAGAATGTTTAACTTTTAGCTTTTACAGGGATGGGTGGGGTGGGGAGACAGACACTGTATGAGAATAAGGCCTTGTCTCTGATCCTTCCAATAAACCCATGAGGTACACACTGTCCCCGTTACTCAAAGAGACTGAAGTCGTAAGAGTCTGTAACTGCTCAGAATCTGAAATGGCAATGACATAGCCAGGAAGTGAGCCCGTCTCCAAAGCCCATGTCCCTTCCTCTACAGCCCTCGGTAACCCCGGTATCTAACAGAAGAAAGCAAACCATGCAGAAACCACGTGAATCCAGGGTGCTGTGAGCACCAAGAGGTCAATCCAGGTCACAGGCCTGATCCAAAGGTGCATCAGGACGTCAGGGGAGGCAGGATGGAGACTCCCCCCAAGGACCTCCAGGTGGGAATTGCATCTGACCAAACCCCAAAGCACCCATCAAGGACAGGGACCTTGTACCCCCAAGGCAGCCTCCACGTGGCCAGCTGGGACTTGCATGAGCCCTTCCCTGGGCTACAGTGGAGGGCACTTCCATCCAGGGGTCCTGGGTCTACGTCTCAGGTCACACAGAACAAGCCTCTCCTCCTTGCACACGGCAGACGCGCTCTGGAAGCTTGCAGACCGTGTGCTAGTAGCCACCCCTGCTTCTGAGCCTCCTCACCGCAAGGTCTTTTGCAGTTGGCACTTGCCCCAGGCACAGGTCAAACAGGGCTGGAATACGGCTCCTGCCTCTAACTTCTCAAAGCCTATTTCCTGATCTGTAAATCTGGTGGCAGAACTGCTCTGCGGGTCAGACACGCCTCAGCCTAGCCCCAGGGCCGCTAAAAGGGCAAGGGCAAGGCAGAGGTCCTGCCATAACAGAAAAGGATTCTTACTGAGCCAGAGGTTGACCAGGTGGCCTCTGAAGTCTCTTTTGACCACAAGACCCTAGAGCTCCTGTCTGGGAGACAGAGTGCCAAGATCACAAGCCCCGCTGGGCCCTGTGGACAGCCTGCCCAGCCCATCCAAATGCACGCCCTCGCAGAAGCACTCGTCTGAGAGCCAAGGCCGATCTGATTATTTTGGCAGGAAGACCACAGATAAGATCAGAGCGCTCAACTGCCTGCTTTCTCCCGGTCACCCATCCCTCCCTGCACCAGTGCTCTGTAAACCCACCAACAGCTCAAATGTGCAGAGCTGTGAGCACACGAAAACCACTGGTGTCAGCACCGGACTTCATAATTGTCTGTGTGCCTCACAATTCTCTTTTGATGAGGAGAGTGACGCAGCACCCCCCCATCCCCCCATAGCCCCCTCGGTGAGAAGTGGCAGTGTTCAGTCCATGAAAACCTTATTTGTGTACATACCTTCCATCTCAGAAGTGGGCTGGGGAGAGAACCGCATACAAACCTCCTCAGGAGGCTGCTTTTTGCATGGAATGGGAGAAGCAGTTCTGAAACTATTTTAAATGTACTACAGGGGCCGGCCCGGCGGCAAAGCGGTTAAGCTTGCGCATTCCGCTTTGGCAGCCCAGGGTTCACCAGTCCGGATCCTGGGCACAGACCTACTCACCGCTCATCAAGCCATACTGAAGCAGCGTGCCACATAGAAGAACTAGAAGGACCTACAACTAGGATATACAACCAGGTACTGGGGCTTTGGGGAGAAAAAAGAAAAAGAGGAAGATTGGCAACAGATTGGCTCAGGGCCAATCTTCCTCAAAAAAATAATAAACAAAAAATAAATAAATAAATAATGCAAAAGACCAAGTACTATGAATTGAGCACATTAGTAAATGTGTGGATGTTCTTAAAGCCAGATTTCTCGGAGTGGAAGAGGGAGATGCAAATAAGGCAGGGAGAAGGGCAGGTAAGGAGAACCCTGTGGGAATGGACTAGACTGGAAGTATCTGTGAAACCCAAGATTTCTAAAATAAGAACATGTACAGGCATGCACACGTGTACATGGATGTGTATGTGTCTTGGGTGTGAGCACGTATGAATGTGCATGCACAGTAGTATGCATCTGTATGGAGTGTTTGTGTATAAGCAGACACAAACACACCTATGTATATATTCCCCAGCTCTGCTCTAAAGGGCTAGAAGACCTGAAGGGCTGGGTGCCCACCTGGTGTCCAGACCTCGGTCTCTAACACCCTCACCCTCAAAAAGGAACCAGGCTCCTTGGAGAAACAGCTGAGTTGGGCCGGGGCAGGAAGGTACAAGATGAGCCTTGGAATGTGGTCTTCTGCCAGAAGGTAAGAAAAGCTTCAAAAAAATGACAGGGTCACATCAAAACGACACAGGGACCCACCTGAAGGGTTCACACTGGCCATATCTGGGGCACTTTGAGCACCAAGATAATTAGGAAGAGTAAATAATTATAAACTATTGAAAAATAAGAATCTATGAGTCTATTTCAATAATAAACAGATGTAAATATAATTTAAATAAAACAATGAAATAAATAAAATACAATAACTCACAGGAATGAATGAATGAGTGAATGAATGAATGGATGGATGGATGGGCAGGATTCTTGCTTATAGCAAAATGCCAATTGCTGACTGGTAACGGGGGGTGGGGGGTGGGGAGTGCTAGAGTAGGGAATCGTCATTCTGCAACATCACAGTGAAGACTGGGGCCGGCAGGAATCCATAACGCAGCCTACACCAGGAGACACCTGGCAAGAAGCAAGACATGCGCAGGGCCTCCGTGTCCCCCCACCGACTGCTTTAATGC